GAAATTCTGCTTCAGCATACTTTCAGCTATTTCAGGTATCAAAATGTTCAGCTCTTCAAGGACATTCATGCTTCTATTCAGAATCTTTCTGAAATTAATAATTTTGCAATATGTAGCTTTATTTTGACAGTTTTGCACCATTCAAATGAATAGGACAATTCTACCTCTGCATACTTTGGACTATTTCAGGTATCAAAATGTTCAGCTCTTCAAGGACATTCATGCTTCTATTCAAAATGTTTCTAAACTTCATACTTTTGAAATATGTAGCTTTATTTTGAAAGTTTTGCACCATTCAAATGAATGAGGAAATTCTAGCTCAGAATACTTTCAGCTGTTAAAATGTTCAGCTCTTCAAGGACATTCATGCTTCTATTCAGAACCTTTCTAAACTCCATACTTCTTCAATATGTAGCTTCTTTATTTTGAAAGTTTTGCACCATTCAAATGAATGAGGAAATTCCAGCTCAGAATACTTTCAGCTGTTAAAAATGTTCAGCTCTTCAAGGACATTCATGCTTCTATTCAGAACCTTTCTAAACTCCATACTTCTTCAATATGTGGCTTTATTTTGAAAGTTTTGCACCATTCAAAAGAATAGGGAAATTCTACTTCAGCATACTTTCAGCTAGCAAAACCATTCAGGTGTCAAAGTCTTCAGCATATTCTGGGCGATCTTTCAGCAATTCGCATCCACACACGCATTTTCGACAGGAAATGCAGTTTTCTAGTTCAAGTATACTTCCTCCTATGTGGTTGTTTTTAAGTAATTTAATTCCCCCCGAGGCAGCAACAGAGACGAGCGAGTGCAGCCGGACCGACCGGCCGTACAAAAGCCGCGCGCCCCGGCTCCCCTCCCCTCTCCTCTCTGCGCTCTCTGTGCGCCCCGACAGTCCCAGGCTGGAGAGAGTTATGTCACCGACTGTTATGTAATAGCATCGGATCGGGTTTTGCCTTGTAGTGTTCAGTTGAGGAACATACTCCTGCTGCCACAAATTTCCGTCACTAATTGAGAAAATAACGCATAGAAGAGACATGAAATTCCATTGCAGGTTTGGCCTTTTCTAGGCTATATGGGAAATAGCATACTGTATTTAAATAAAACCCCTCTTCGAATATCGCTTAGTATTAGAATCACCTGCAGGATCTGTAGGCATACACATAATATATACAGGGGATTCTTTAATAACAGTGCAATATCTCATTTTAATGAGGGTAGAAGTTAACTGCAGACAAATGGAAAACGATTAATAATCGATGTCTTCTCGGTTTACATCACAGTGGTAAATGCGCCTCCAAGACAAGGCGCTTCACTGGGCTCAGGCACACAGGATGAACATGCATACAGCTACAGAAGACTGCAGACAGTGATGGAGAAAGAATTCAAAGCCAAAGTTGCAAAACCAGGCTGTAACAACTGTTAGCCTTCTTAAATCTATTTGAATAAAAGATGAAAAATGTACTTAAAGTAGATTATCAAAGCAAAAGTACTCAGAGCAGAAATTGGCCCATGTGTTATGCTAATGTAGTTGGATTCTCATTACTGATGCAATTATTATGGCCATAATCATTTTCCTACTCATCAGACCATTCGGTGACCCCTTATGCCCTATGATTTGGGGCATTGTCATCCTGGAAGAGACCATTCAGGTTTTGCCTGTAATTTGTCACCAGTCTGTATTTTGTTTAATAAATGGACCCAAGGTATTGCCATCAGGCTGCTCATTCCTTTCCACTGCCCAAGGTAACACTTGCCAAAAAGTGTTATTGTTCACAGTCAAGTTACTTACAGACACTTCACAGTCCTGTCAGGTGCCTCTGCCTTCAGCAGTCTTTGTTTAAACATTTCAATTTGAATAGGTTATTCAGCTTTCCAAATATAACTTGCACCTTTAGGCTGATACATATCTGAAAGCATTACAGTGGACAGAACTTGCTGCAGTGGTTTTAACTGACAAGCTGAAAACAAGTGGCCCTACTCTGGCCCCTATCTGGTTCCTCAAACCCGACTTGACCACACAACTCTCTAGGGGAAAAGGAAAAAAACAGCTGGTGTCCTGCATCCGCTACCCAACACACGTGTACCAAAAAGGTTTTAGAAACTAAAGTAGCATTTCCATCTCCACTTTTCTGAGGTTAAAGTATGAGGGGCCCTGAGGAGACCACTAGGCCTGTACTGTGAAGCAGCCATACAGTCAGAAACCACAGATCAGATCAAACTGCATGAGAGGCTAAATGTAGGTAAAAGCATGGAGGGATTGTAAACCTGTAACTAATCATTTACTTAGAAAAACCCACTCAGCAGTACTTTTTGCATTGTACTCATGTATTCTTATTCTGTAGTCTTAGGCCACCGTTAGTTTAGCTGTTTTAACAAGGTTGTAATAATAGTGTTTATTTTTCAGTCTCTTTATTAAGATTTAAGCAGAAAACACAGGAAATATGTACACACCATTAAAACCACAACATTTTCAGAACAAAACAGCTTCTACAGTCCAAATCCAGTGTTTAGCGTGACCTCCCTTTGCACTTAGCACAGCTTGGATTCTTTTGGGGAGACTGTCTTAAAGTGTTGAAACCATGACAAACCCTTCACCATGTTTCACTAGAGGCTGCAAGCACTCGTTCTTCCAGCTCCCTCCAACTCTTCTTCTCACATATTGTCAACGATTGGACCCTAACATTTCAAACTTCCATTCATCACTCCATAATCCTCTTTTCCACTGATCAAAGGCCGTTCCTGATCGGGCTTCTTCGGACTGTGGCTTTTTGTCCTTGACCTCTCTGGATTCTTCATATTTTAGAACAACTTGAATACCACATCTTGCCTATCTAGTTTGTTTGTTGATTTTGTGTTTTTTTTATATGGTCCTACATATTTCCTATATTTTCTAGTCGTATTCTGATAAATAACTGTATATAGTTATCATAACATTGTTAAAACTACAAATTTAATAGTGTCCCAAGACTTTTGCAGAGTGCTATATATGCAGAGAATTCAACAAGATGGAACAATGCGGAGGCTCCTCATCAAAAATATAAACATGAAATGTTAACTGATACATTTAAAACTCTTGTTTAATATTTCAGTCCTCAACATTAGATGTCACTGTCTCAGCCGTCTAACAGTAAAACTAAGTACAGCAAGGCTTTGCTCTACTTGGTGAAGTACTGTAAGCAGTAGACGTTGTTGCTCACTTGGCTGGGAAGCTTTTTGACAAAAAGCTAGAATTGGTCAGATCATTGAATTTGCAGAATGAAACAATGCAGTCTTTATGAAAACTTAAACTTGTTTCTTATGTTTGTTCCACAGCTGTGGGGTGACAATTGCCTCAATTAGTGAGGTCAGTTTATTTAACTCCCCGCCAACATGGTGAGCACAATGTAAATGCCAACAACAAAGTGTTGGCAGGAAAATCAACACTACATTTGCATGCATATTTTCTATATTCCCATGTAAAACTCAGAAATGGTGTCTTCTATCTATAGTCAGTGCAGTATGAGAGTAAGAGACAGTAAGACAGAGGTGCTCAATATGCTTTCGATGGCTTAATAAGTGCACTTTTTTGGCAGCGTGGTCGGCAGTAGTTGCCAGAGCAGCACAGATCTCTGTGATGTGGACAGTGTTACTTATTATGGCTTACTGTGGCACGCCTCAGTCTTTCTGATAGTAACAAACATGCTCACAAAAAGTAAATGAAAGCAAATGAAACAAACCAGACTATGAACAAGATGACGATGGCTAACATGATGATTTGGGGTTTGAGCACCTTTCGTCTCAATTCTAAGTCATTAAACTCTCATGGTGTGCTCATATTCAAACCTAACCACATCCACCGCATGGCAGGGCGACAGTTAACAACCCACACCTGAAAGTCAAAACTAACATGTAAGAAAGTGAGACTCAGCCTTGTTAGCTGGAATGCTCCAAAAATTTGATCTCATTTATTTTACTAATTTATCAAAGTGACAGCAAAAAATTAGTTTCAAAAATAAAAATCCGTACGTTTATCAAGTGCATAAATTATAAAAAAATCAAGCAGCACATGTTGTTCTACTATCCTCTCAAATTTGACCAATCTAATATCAGTGTGTCAGTCAAACCTTACAAATTATACTGTATTTGCCTGACTATGTACAACACATAGTCTATGAACAAATGAAAATAAACATACACTCAAAGTAAAGACACAGTCTTTTAAAAGTTGAGAAGCAAAAACTTTTTTTAAAAAGTTAACACTAATTTTTATTCCCTGCTTGTAACAATTTCACTTGTTGACAAATACATAAGCGTTATAATTTATACAAGAAAAGTTACTTCAACAAACTGTTTGCTAGTAATAAATACTTAAATGGAGATGGAGGAATTTTAGAATATAATAAAGGATATTTAGAGAAGGCATTTCTTAAACTGCTTGCTTGCAAATAAGTGCACACTACCAATGATTCACTCACACACATACTTCAACTTGCTGACACTCTGCATAGGTGCTAAGCTGGTGCCTCTCTGTCACCATTCCAGGAAGCGGCTCTCACTGATCGACAGGAACAGTGCTGTAGGAGGCATGGAAGAGAAAACAGGACAGTTACAATATAGAAAATCAAAGATCATATGTGTCTAACTACATACTTTCCCAGACATGTCCCCTTCAATAAAAACATATGTTACCTGTTGCTTCTGTGTACAGTTTGGAACCATCAGTGCTGGTCACTTTACATGAAAGTAATGTTTTTCTGCCTTCCATCTTATCCACAGTGGATTCGACCAGCACTGTACTTCCCAGTGAGATGGGGCTTGAGACAGGACAACTATTTGTTAGGGCAAACTGACCATTGACAATAACATAGTGTATAAAGATGTTACTTTGGGCTTATACACTGCTTTCTGAAACATCTCATAGTGTTTCTGTTACTATTATTTGATATTTGGGTTAAGAAGAGCACTTTGAGTGTTCAGCTTAAATGACCCAGAGCAAACATCTGGCAATCCTTGGCCAACCACAATAAGCACGTGGAGCATGCAGGCTGACTTTGTGAGGTGAACACTGTTGTTACAGCAACAAACATAACTGAATAACTATGTGATAATAATTCAGTGCCAGTGTAGAGCTGGTTGACACTTGTGTGATGGCCCCTGTGCTGCATAATGTCTTACTGTAAGGTATGTAGGGATTCTGCACTACCTAAACAGTGCATATAATAGTAATCCCTGTACATAGCTAGATGTGTTCCACTTAAAAACAATGGAGACTACACAGACCTTGCAGTAACACACAGTAAACTCTGGTCCATCTTTATACTAAACAATGAGTAACTAGCATTTATTGTAAGGTAGTTTACATTTGGCCAATATTTAACCAAAGCTACAAAAGTTAAAACAGTGCAAGTAAATATATAATGTATTTTTACAATATATCAATTGTTGCACGTGGGTATAAAGATACTTTGTGTACCTGCGATAGTTGATGTTGAGGTTGGCAGTCATAATAGCTCCATAGAGAAAAACAGCATGAGACCCTGTCACAGTATCAATCATAGTGGCTATCGCCCCCCCGTGGACATGTCTGGAAACACACACACAATGTCTATTAGACTTTAAACTGAAGTTTGACTGTTTAATACAGGCCCATTTCATTAGGTAATTCTTTTAAAATGTTATTTCTTTTTGCTATTTTTCCTCTGTGAGCAAGCTGATAGTACAGAGGCAGTGAAATGTGCAGGTGATCTCACCCTGGTGGTCCCTCCAGTAGGTGTCCAGGCTGGAAAATGCACACACACTTCTGCTCCTTTTTGTTTGCAAACAGAACATACTCAAATCCTGCCCCTGGTTCTGTTATGTTTCGGGTAAAAAGACGAGCTTTTGACTGGATAGTCCTACTAAGAAACGCTCCACCTGATGGAAAAACACACAAGCGAACAGTCGGGGTGGGGGTGGGGGAGATAATAAATAAATAAATACAGGTCTAAGATGGGGTTGAAGGGTATCAAATAGATTTCTATTTTAAGATTAAATGTTGCTGAATGTAGAGCAAAGAAAACAGTATTACATGGTAAAAATATACTCCCCACTACAAATACAAATCTCACGTTTTCAAATCCACAAGCCAAATTATGTATTTGTCTTTGTACCAGCAAGCTGAGAGACAGTCAGTTAAGGGTATATGAAGATAAAAATGTATCAGCACATGTCTAGCTCAAACTTTAAATGGTTTTGTTGTTCTAGCTTACTTCTCTAAGCTCAACATAACTCAAACATTATTAGGTGATAGGTGAACAATGAACACGCAAATCCTCAAACAAGTCTTACCTGTAGCATATTTGATGGAGCGATTGTAGCTGGGCAGTCTCTGCCACAGCGCTCCCTGTTTCTCTCCTCCCTCTACCTCCACCTCACACTGGCTTTTGTAATGCTCGTACAACCGCAGCATGTCTGGTCCCCAGGAGGGATTAGGCAGGCTGAAGTCCTGGGACTTTGAGGAAAAGGACGATGGCAGAGCATACCAAACAGGGCAATGCAACAGTTAGCGGTGAGGCACTGTGCTGAGACAGGGCATGTCAAAGAATTCTGTACAAATCAATAACTAGTTTCTGAAAGAAACTTAAACATAACAATGACAAAGTGTGACTGTTGAAATACAGATGTTGAAATATACAGTGGCAAAAACGTAAGCTGACCCTTTGTAAATGAACAAACATCATACTATTAGTATCTAATAAGACACAAAACAATCCTAGTGATACTGAGTTTAGTATCATGTGTGGGGAAGAAAAGGATCAAATCCTCACATTTGAGAAGTTACAAACAGAAAACGTTTTAATATTTTTGCTTAAAAGTGATTAAAAAGACTTCGATTCTCATAATTGGTGTCAATATATTTTCTGTTAATCAAATCATTGCTGCAGCATCATTGTTTCACTGCCGGTAGCGTTTATTTCTACTTCTACTGTTGTGTACTCTCACATCATTACAACTGGGAAAGAAGGATGAAGCTATCAAGTTCGCGGAGCACACAGATTAAAATCCGACCAGTCATTTCAAGCGCTTTCATAAAAACCGTGTACTCTACCTACCGCCATGGTGCGTATAGAGGTGATCCTGAGTGAAACACTGGCCGGCGGATAGCTTAGTTGAACCCTCATGGGTGGGAGGGAAGCGAGGCTCTGACAGCCCCTAAATAATCTAGTGAGGCTCCTTGCCATCAGTACACTGTTTAATATGATGAGGTCAAAACTTGCACTGGAACTGTTTGTGACAGAGCTGCCTGTATTTTGCGGTAGAAGGTGGTAGAACTTAACGGTAGTTAGCTAACGTTATCTAGAACGGGAACAAACCGCTATCGCATAAACACTGGGTTGTTTTAATATCTAGCGTAAGCATGTTTAACACATTGTTATGTTTAGGGATCTAGGTAAATAAAAATACGCCCTGTAACCTACAACGATTATTCCACCGGTGACTTCCATACGTCATCGGATGCGACCTACTGCATCATTTAGGTCACATGCTTAACACATTGCATTGTGATTGGCTGTTTCGTGTAACATTCAGGTTTTCATGTCAACGGACAGGATTTTTAAAACTTTAAACTCTGTCATTGTAGAGGAAAGCTTGGGCTGCGTCCGAAACCGCATACTGTGACAGTACGTACTGAAAGAGATGAAGTACCTACTTACTGACCGTTAAAACAGTAGGTACTGTATAGTATGAAGCCTGGTAGTATGAATGAGATTCGGACGTACTACATCCGCCATGTTGATACATCACGTGACATACGTTTTCATAGCAGCGGTCATCCGGGTACTTTTCGCCTACTGTTTTTGGAATACTACGAATCCGGACATACTACTCGCCTCGCCTACTGCTTTTCGCCTACTATACAGTATGGTAGTAGGCGGTTTCGGACGCAGCCTAAGTGTAGCTAAATAAAAGACAGTTAAAGACAGAGCTAAATAAAAGTTAAGATTCACTAAGTATGACAATGATATTTAGGACTACTGTAGTTCATGTCCTTTGTCTTTCAAAGTGAAACAAAAAAGGTTTAGCCTACTATACACACAGTCATAAAACATCTTTTTTTTATTGCTTTGACACAAAATGCATTCAGTACAATCATTTACAATTTTATGAATTATTTTGTTTTTGTCTATATCTACGTAATCTAAATCTATAGTCTATCTTTAAAGTCCATCCCTATAGGAATTCCCCATGGTGTGAAAAGGTTTTATTAAGAATGACTCATGACTATGAACTTATATTGATTCTATTTTACAGGATATAAAACTATATATGTAGCCTTATGAAAAATATCAAAAGATGTTTACCAACAGTAAAGACTTAAACATTTTGGGAGTGTCACAAATGACCAGCAACAAAATAACAAGATATCATCTCAACTACTACAACAAATTTATTTATGCATTTATTTATTTATAGGCTATAATTTCATGCCAATTATCTTGTAACAGAATTCAGTTAGATTTCAGTTAGAAGTCTGGCCTTGATTTATGAACGTGTGGTTTCTTCAAATGTGATCATATCTATATAAGAACTGATTCCTAAAACAACTAACATTGAATATGAATGTTTAACACAGAGCCACACATTTTGTTTTGCTGTGAACTTTAGCTAACCTCTTAACTTGAGCCCAAGGCACATTGGGCTTTTGAAGATCAAGTTAGATAGACTGATCAAGGGAAATTCAACTACATGTCTCTGTTTGTTGCTCATCAGACATCACACCTATTCCATGTTTGTTAAGCTATTTCTATCTCAACCTTACTCTCAAAATTGCATTCTTGTTAACCCACTTTCCAGAATGCTGCCTTCCATTAAGCAGCACACTGGAGGTCATCTTTATGAGCTCAGACAGACTGACTGCACCTTCAGTCTACACTAGGGGGACACAGAGGAACATGTCACTGAGCTAATTTGTTTCCTTTAACTGACAAACAAGATATGAATATATGATACACAATTATAATGCATCATATAATGCATATAATGCATGTCATTTGCTTTCCAGTACAGTTTAAAGACCTCTATCTGTATTATAGTTACAAACTTGTTGTGTCACTGAAAGCTGTGCATTTGGTTATATTATTCCACCCATCCACCCATACACATACAACAAGCACATTTTGATAATAATGATACAGGACACCAACGTTGACTTATTTGACAAGTATATAAATACAGGCATGTATTAAAATGTTTTACAAAGACAAACTATGTCTAACCAACCAATGCAATCATAAAAAAATATGCAACACATTTCCCCTCTCCCCATGTTTGAGCAATTTGTCCTAAGAATGGATCTAAGGACAGTTTTTTTAAACCAACATAGTTCATATTTTCTCATAAGAAAGAGTTATAATCACATCAGTGATATCGCCAAACCTATCCCGGTCTGCATGTTGGGCTTCTTATTTTTAAAGTTTAGTTAGTGTTGAATGTTTTAGTTGACTTTATTTTGGAGCTTCAGTGATTCCACACACCTTCCTGCAAAATTAAGAAAAGAAACAATTTGAATTTAGTGTGCACAGTCCAGATATATGGTGGCCTTGCATTTTTATAGTTTCTAACATGGCTCTCTTCTTTTTCTTGAGAATGCAAATGACTGTTTCTTATTTGAAATCTAGTCACATATTTTTTATATAGTCCAATATCACACATCACAGATTTGCCTCAAAGGGCTTCTTACCGTGCTTCCTCATTAGTTGTATCCACAAATGCACAAACAGCCTTGTCTCTATCCAAAATCCGTTGCTTCAAGCCTTGAACGTCCTCCCCAGCCTTCTTTTTAGCCTGTTCATGATCAGCTGAGTATAACAGAGAGAAACACATTACACCAAACAGTGAGAATTTCTACATTTAAAGAGCCCATGGCATGCTTTCCCTTGCATATTGACTAATCTACCATGTTACAACAGTGAATTATCATCTTAGATGTGACCTAAAGCTAAAAAAATGAGCTGTACATACAGTATGCTCTAGTACGTCTATGCAAAAGCAACTCGCTTTATATAAGTCTTGCAAACCGTTGCTCATGAGACTTTTTTTCTATAAAAATTGAATATTATGTCTCTCCCCGGCCTTCCATGCACTACAAATGGGCAGGTCACAAATATCCATCCCCTCTGTAGCGTATGTACAATATATCCAATCACTGGCATCTCTCGCCCAGCTTTCCTCACATCACACATACAGCGTGCGTGTACACAAAAGGACCAGTCCTACAACCACCCACACAACCACGGGGTGAAACATAACCCCATGTTTTGCCACTTCAAGTGTGATGTCAATACACTAGTACTTTTAATCATGTAATGCTAGGTGACTTTCATATGTAACTGAGTATTTTTACTTTTACTCAAGAAACATTTGGAACACATGAAAATCATAAGGAGGGGGACTCATACTCTCTCTATGGTGCAAGGCTGACAGATCTCAACAGCTCCAACTCATCCTTTGTCTGTAAATGGTCATCAAAATGTGTACACTCATACATTTTGTCTAATTCTCTTGTCTGAATTAGTAATGGATTGGCTAGTATTGGTAACTACCTGCCCAGAGTTGATATCACCACATTAGAGTTGAAAGGAAAAGCTGCTTTACCTTTGATTTTCGTGATAGCCTCTGTTATATCTGCCTTCTTCTTCTCAGCATCTGCCTAATAGAACAGGTAAACGTATGTCAGCAGTTAAGGTAGATTAATGTATCAGGATTTAAAAAAATGAAAGTTCAAAAGACTCAAATCAAATATGTGGAGCCAGCCGATAGGCAACTAGACATCATGTGCATCACACAGAACACTTCTGTGTAAATACTGTTACTATCTTATGCACATATTCAGAATAACACCAGTTGTGAATGTGTCCCTTGCCTTCTCTGATTTACAGGTCTGCAGACTTGTATCAGACTCCTTTGTTGATTTTTCCATGGTTTCCTTCTTCTTCTTCAGCCCATCCAACTTGTTGTTGACAGACGTCATTGTTTCCTTCAGGGTCTGGACTTTGGTTTTCAGCTCCGCGATGCCGTCCTCCCTCTGCTTGATCCCAGCTGTGTTCTCCGCTGCGCGGAATTTTAAATTACGTAGCTTCAGCTCCTGGCGTATAACCTGGGCAGTCAGTACAATCAATACAGCCACGCTCAGGCTGATTATAATAACTGCGGGCTTCATGCTGGTTGAGAAAATTAAAGACTGGATCATAGAAGAGGCCAGGTGCTGTAAACTCCTGCCGTTCGCTTCGTTTTCATTCCGGATATGTTCACTTGCTTGCACACCTGGCGTAACCTGCTCTACCCTGTTCTCCGAGCTGGGCGTAACAATCTACCTATTTCCTCTTCCTGGTTGACGCGAGGCTCTACAAACGCCTTGGTTATGTTGCTTACCTTGATTATTGCGGAACACAATATCCTGAAATGCGAATATAAAAACTCCCTTGTGAACCTGCATCGACACAATCTCCTCTGGCCTGTCATAACATCAGTGGTTTAAACTATAGGCTATATTTATTCGTTTATTTATTAACTCATTAATAGGTCAGTAATTCTAATATAACACTTTAAAAGGGGACAATAATAAAGCCAATTTTACATTTGATACTTTAGGTAGCCTGCATTTGGCTGCTAAAATATATTTATGTTTACATAAGTAACATGTTGAAAGTAGGTGCCGCAGATGGCTGCCTCGGTTCCCTTTCCAGAAACAAATTCATTGTGTGTCTAACAAACCTGGCCAAATACTTGATCTTAGCCAGAGAGGTGCATTTCAGGATGCTTAATGAATTCTACCCCTCTAAAGAATTCTTACAATTGAAATTTAATATGGATGATAACTGCTGTACTTTTTGTAACTGGGGCAGCTAGACCACAGATCATTAGTTTTTCTATTGAAATCTTACATTTAACTTTTGGGCATGTTTAAATGACTGGCTTAGGTCCAAAATTGACTTTTTAGCACCTTTTACTTTAGAAAACATCAAATTTGGTGTATCAAAAAAAAAAAGATGTTGAATTATTGGTCAATAATTTTATCATTTTGGCAAAATATTATGTTCATAAAATCAACTGGACTAGGTTTTTAGGTCGAAGACGTTTCAGCTCTCATCCAAGAGGCTTCATCAGTTCTGCACTATGACCTGGATGACTGACAACCAGCACGGGACATTATATTCTTAAATGTAAATGCAGTAAAAGGCGACCTTGTTTAGCTGCGTTTAGTTATGAAATATCCACACTTACGAAATCCCTGGGTTGTATGAGTGGTAAAGGAGCCCTAAGTCTTTTATCTGCAATCAGTCAGTTTGATTTACTGTAATCCCCTGGTTATATATTTTATTTTTTTTATATTTACTTATTTCAATTGATATATTCATGTTTGTTTTGTTTAGATGCGTGTGTGTGTGTGTGTTGGGGTAAAACGTAGCCAAATAAAGTGAAGAAAAAAGAAGAAACAAAAAATGTTTAGATTTGAGATATACTAAATTATGTTGAAAAATTAAGTTACTATTAAAAATTAAGATGAGGTCGCTTTACCCTATAATAAAAACCCCGTGTGCTCATACAGGACTAGGTGCAATTGCAAATAAGTAAAAAAAAAAAAAAGGCAAAAAATGAAGCCTTTGTCCTCTGTCAGCACACACGCAGTTACAAGCCTGTTTATCTAGTCATGTGTGACTCGGGTAAGTGTGAGAAGGGTGAGCCGGATGTAACAGGTAACAGGGCCAACCTGTCTTTGAAAACCAGGAAGTGGGCGTTTCCACTGGCAGGTCCGGGTAATGCTGCGCGCTCTGGCGCAACACAGAAGAATGGGTTTCCAGTACAAGCGCGTAGGTGAGCCATTCCATATGCCTGATTGGTTTAAATTAGGGAAACGCAGAGAGATGTAGTCAAGCCGAAGACGGGCCGTCTCCGAACCTCGCATTAAAGTTAAAGAAGCTGTGCTTTGAGACCTACAGGAAAGGTTTTAGGCTTTTCATCATTAAGCGGAAACACCTCAAACGCAAAAAGACGGTGTAGTCTACAACTATAGTTTTCTAAAAATGAAGGCGCAATTTATAGTACCTCTGACAGTATTGTTGTCTGTCGGTTTGCTGGGGATCATGAAATTACGGAAAAAGGAGGAAGAAATAGAAGAGAGACGGAATAAGTTTCTGGACATCAAGCTACGGGTGTCCCACGACGTGCAGAAAGGGTATGAGGGCGAGAAGACAGATGCGCAGAATATTGTGGACAAGGCCCAAGCTACCATCAAAGCGCTGGAGGATGAAATGCCCAAACTCCAAGGGAAAGCGGATGAGATGAAGGGTCAAGCGGACACCTGCCTGGGAGAGCAGGTGGGAAGACAATGAATAAAGTATGAATAGTGATTCGAGTATCAGCTTTAAAAAAAAAACTGAAATCACTGTAATGACTGGTTCTCTGAGGAAAATTATTTGTAATTCAGTCTCTCTGTGTGAAGGAACTGTTGATTTGACATCAAGTGTATGCACAAGATAAAACACACACACACACACACATCAAGGAAATAAATGGATGTCAGGCATGGAAATCAGGTTTGTCTTGTACTGTCAGAGCAGGGGTTGACATAAGATCTACAACCACAACTACAGAGGCTATACAGTAATTACTGTCCCTGCTTGAATACATGGAAGGCCTTAGCCTATAGGTCATAGGCTGGGTTTCTTTAGCCACCTAAACATTTGCCACACCTTCATAATAAAACAATATTGGGTAATATAGATAATCATGATTTGAGATTAAACACATGCAGTTCTGTATATATAATAAATAACTATGATCTAGCTTCTAATTTGAATTCTAATTTGATTCATTCTTACCTGGTTTGTATGCAGATCCAGATCAAACATTTACCAGGAGTCAGAAGGATGTTGTTGAAGATATGTAGCTGCAGGATGTTAGTCTGAGTAGATTTCTCTAACAATCTCTTGTTTGTGTTGCTGTGATTCTCTTTTCTACTTACAGAAATCTGTAAAAGACCAGCTGGCAACAGCAGAGGCAGAACTTAGTAAATTAAAAGGTCAGTGGTGTTTTGTGGGCCTCGGTGTCTAAACAGAAGGGATGAAGCATCTGTTCCCTCTTTTACTTCAAATGCATTTTATTAGATTTTTCTTCCAGTTGAGTGGGAGTCCTAACCTTGCTTTTATTTGTAAAACACTAAAATTCCTCATGTCATGTAATGATACAGGTGAAACCGATAAGGAGGCTGCCAGCTGGAAAACAGAATTGGAAACATTGAATCAGCAAATGGCAGCTCAGAGTGCAGCATGTAAATATTTGAAAAAAGGATCACAAGAAGGAAGGTATGGTTACTATAGTGGACATTTAAAATATTTCTGCAGAATGCACTCCAACATCCATTATGATTTCTGTGTATTCACTGTTTTCTTTTGTTGACCTTTCTCTTAAAGCAAGTTGTGTGGCATTGAAGTGAAGGCGGAGGCCCCTAAACAAGAGGAGCCAAAGGCGGAGGCCCCTAAAAAAGAGGAGCCAAAGGCGGAGGCCCCTAAAAAAGAGGAGCCAAAGGCGGAGGCCCCTAAACAAGAGGAGCCAAAGCCAGAGGCTCCTAAACAATAGGGGCCAAAGACAGAGGCCCCTAAATAAGAGAAGCCTGAAGCAGGGGCCCCTAAGAAGAGATGAGATATCAGAATATCTGTTTTTAACTCCTTCATTTGTTAAAGATGTACAGTTTTTGTGCACTGCACATATTGCAACCATATTTTAGCTTGTAGCTTCACTGGGTCACTTGTGGTACAGGGAAAGCGTTTAAAATTGGACTACTCACTATTTGGGTTGTGAATGAATATTCCCTTCCAATCTATTTATTTTTGTGCAACAAAATTAAGAAGAATTTGGGTTTGTTTGTGTGTATGTGTAAAATACTTGGTAATAAACAGGTGCTGTCATAGTGCAATGTTTTGTCCTAGCTAGGATAAAGAGTGTGTGATATCTGGAATACAACATGGGGAATGTGAGAGATTGTTGACTAATGGAATGATGGTGAGGGGACTTTGCAGGTTCCTGGTGTAAATACACCAGAAGGAGATGATCCTTCCATGTTCTCCTGTGCGGCTTCACAACTCTGTCTGTCGTGACTCTAGATGGATTTATGGCACAAAGAAAATGCACACACAGCTGTGAACAAGCTTTACTGCAATATATTGTCAAAAATGTACTAACTTTTGAATAACTTTTATTTTAAAAAATCTCTTCCATTAAAATAAATTGTTACTGATAATTCAACACGAACATGCATCTTTCCTACATTTGACCAACTCTGTTTTTGATTATCTAAAACAATAGAGGGTGATTACTTTTGACAATATTTCACCCTGCAACTATAAGTTCTCCACAGCATTGCTTCATTTAACAGTGGCAGAAATATTGAATTCCATCATTTAAATAAAAATAAATATATTACAATTCTGAGTATATTGTGCTGGAGCCAATCTCAGCTGACATTGAGTGAGAGGTGTGGTATCCTGGACAGGTTATCAGTCATTCACAGGGCTGACACTTAGAGACAAACAACACATCCACATTCTCTCATATGGGCAATTTAGAGTCACCAGTCAACTTCAACCGCATGTCTTTAGACTGTGGGAAGAAGCCACGCAGGCACAGAACCTTGAACCTTCTTGCTGAGGTGGCAGTGCTAACCACTGTGCCATGATGCCAAATGGAGATAACTAAGACTATAAATACAGTTTATTTATTATGATTTTTTTTTCACATAATTTGTGTCAAATCTGCAAAATAACTAGCAGAAAGTAATTGAGTAAAAAGTATACTTCTCTCTAAAATATAGCATAATAGTATAAAATGGGAAATACTCAAGTAGAATGCAAGTATCATAAGTACAATACTTGATAATAGCTTTACCACTGTAAACTGTGATGCGATATCTATTTTGTCCTCATAATAAAATAGAAGTATTATAGAGTCTATTTTCAAGATTCAAGATTTTTATTTGCCATCTATGCATAAACAGACAGTCTAGGCATATAGGAATTCTTGTGCAGGGCTCTCCTGGAGTCAAGTAAAGAGTTTAAAGCCAAAAGAATGAACACCTAGTTTAAATATAAGATACAAAAGTAAAAAAAAAAACAACAATACCCAAAAATACAACATAGTTGATAAATTTGTGGATACAGGAATAAGGTAGCAGGTAAAGTGGGGAGTTTCAAATATTGCACATGGTATTGCACCTAGAGGTCCTTCTCCTTTCCATGTAGAAGAATGTTGTTCACCAAGCTTCTGTAACCTGACTCGTCCCCCCCTCCCCCAATGAGGCCCAGAATGGTGGTGTCATCAACATATTTAATGATGGTGGTGTTGTCATGGTTGGAGACACAGTTGTGGGTGTACACGGTGAAGAGTTTGGGGCTGAGACAGCAGCCCTGTGGTGAGCCTGTGCTGATTGTGAGCTCAGCAGACACCCGCCCTCCCATTCCGACCACCTGTGGTCTTTCTGTCAGGAAGTCCAAAATCCAGTTACAGGTGGGAGTCGGGGCACTGAGGTCTGTCAGCTTCTCAATCAGCCTGCCCAGGAGAATGGTATTGAATGCAAAACTGTAGTCTAGGAAGAGCATCCTAACGTACATTCCGCTGTTGTCCAGGTGTTTCAGGGTGTGGAATAAAGCCAAAGCCACTGCATCATCTACTGATCTGTTGGGATGATAGGCAAACTGGAGGGGGTCTACGGTGTCCGGGACCATGTGGTTAATGTGTGTGAGGACCAGTTTCTCTAAGCACTTCGTGGTGACTGATGTGAGCACCACTGGCCTGAAGTCATTCAGAGTGGATGTGTCTGTCTTAGGGACCGGTATGATAAAGGCTTTTTTGAAAATGCAAGAGACTACTGCTTGCACGTATGTAAATTCTGTTCTTGATTATTCAAATACTTGATTCTGTCTATTTTTGAGTACTTGGAATTTATTTATCAGGATGTATGTGTGGTGTTTGTTTCTCATGGTGTTATGTTGTTTGTTCTCCATTGCTGCTGAAACACTGAAATTTCCCCATTGAGGGATCAATAAAGTACCTACCTGGGTTAAAGACAGGTTGAAGGTGTCTGCATACACACTAGCCAGTTGATCCCCGCAGGCTTTCAGAGCTCTAGGGGAGACACCGTCTGGTCCCGCAGCCTTATGGGGATTCACCTGTTTCAGGGCCTCCAGGACCTGTGTGTGTGTCACCTGTTAAGCAGTGTCCCCCGGGTCACAGGGGGATTTTGAGGGGGTATCCATGTTCAGCCTGTCAAACCTAGCATAGAGGTTCTTAAGGCTGTCCGGGAGGGTGACGTCCTGGGAGACCGTGATCTTTGGTTTGTTCCTGTAGTTTGTGACTGCCTAGATTCCCTGCCACATGCAGCACGTGTTGTTATTCAGGTAACGGCTCTCCAGTTTTTGGAAGTATGCCCTTTTTGCAGCTCTGATAGACCTCTGTAGCTCGTACCCAGCTCTCCTGTACTCCCCTTGGTCCCCTGCCTTGAAAGCCTCCCGCCTTTTCCTGTTTTTCTGTTTTATGTCTATATTGAACCAGGATTTTTGGTTGGGGGAGACACGCACAGTTTTAAGTGGGGCACATATGGATGTGCACCAACTGATGTAATCACTCACAGTCTCTGCTTATTCATGAATATTGTCTGCGGCCCTTTTCAAGACGTTCCAGTCTGTGGCCTCTAGACAGCCCTGCAGACTAGCCTGTGTACCGTCAGTCCAAATGTTAACAGTGGGACTGGTTTTGCCTTGAGCCATTTGGTGTAGACCAGCCTGAGCCAGATTGCTAGGTGGTCAGATCTACCAAAATGAGGCTTAGATTCTGCTGAGAAAGCATTTCTAATGTTACTGTAACATTGGTCCAGTGCTTTGTTTCCTCTAGTGGGAAAAGTCACAAACTGATGCAGTTTAGGCATGCTTTTCCTGAGATTGCAATGATTGGCATCTCCCAGAAAAATATTTGCTGCATCAGGATATGTGGTTTCATGGTCATTGATCACATTGTGCAGCTCTTTGAGTGCAGCCTCCTCCTTGGATGAGGGGGGTGCGTACACCACACTTACAATGATACATTGCATTTCTCTGGGCAAATAAAGTGGCCTTAGCTTCGATGTTAAGTATTCCACATCTTCAGAACAAAATTTGGAGATAATCTTACTGTCAGTGCACCAGGACTGTTTGATGAAGGCAACCGTTCCTCCTCCACGGATCTTGTCGCTTTCTGTGGCACTTCAGTGGTGTCTGAACACGGAGTAGCCATCCAGAGTAATTGCCTCGTTGGGTGTTCCTACACCCAGCCATGTCTCACAAAAACACAGCAAGGAGCAGTCCTGTATGTCCCTCTGCATGGAAATCCAAGCGTGGAGTTCGTCCATCTTATTATCAAGAGATTGGACATTTGCAAACAGTATAGCCAGGAGGGTTAGCCTACCCCTCCTAACCAAATGCCAGACCCTTCACTCCGCACCTCCCCGTCTGCCTCTTCTTCGTTTCAGCTTGTCACCAGCCGAAGAGCTGCCTGCTGGGGGTCAGCCTGGCGTTGTGTTGACATAGCACGTTAGCTCTGGGTAAGAGTCCAATGTGCTCAGGTCAAACTCTCCGAAAAGACTATGCTTTCTTAGCTGTAGTAAAGTCGCCTGGTCATACATAGTGTTTGCAGTCCTTACTATTGTATTAACATGGCACAAATAAGCAAGAAAGAGACAAAAGAGAAATAACTTGACTCAGAGAGATTTGCAAGGTCGCACACAGGAGAGCAGCATCTTTTGTGTATGTTACAAAATTGGTAATTTGTAGAAAAATACTACAAAGGATACTGATATGTTACAGCAAATAGTAACACTGGGCTCTAGTTAACAGCAACACACCACACTGGTTGCACTGGTATGTGGTACTAACACTTGCCCTCCTGCCAAACCGATGCCCTGGATATACAGTACAGATCTACACTTATAGAACAGTTAAGGAGTTTCTTTGTCCACTCTCTCAGGTCCAGGCATTAAGATAAATTTAATCTCAAGACGGTTTCCTGTAATATTTTGTGTAGGATTTCTTTGGAAAGGAGTGTCACTTTGAACCTCATGCGGTTGGAAGCTTTGCACATGAGTCAGATAGTTGTTATCTCCTATGTCAATGAAATACCAAAGTTCAGGAGCATTTTTTTCAGCACCTGAGATTTCTGGCTCACCTGAAAGAAACACCCATGTCATCTCATTGGCGGCTTTCACTTGTCTGCACCCGGCATCCCATTGTTTCTCTTTCTTTAGTTAAATCAACTTTATTGTCATTTTGGCAGCTATATGTTGTGGTGCTGTTGAAATGTGTGAAACTGAGAGGTGTTTGTGTCCACTCCATTTATGTCAAAGAGTTGACCTCTTGTTATAACAGCACCACAAAATGTAGTCTTCAAAATGAGCAGTTGAATCAACACTTCCCTATAATAGTGTGACAGATAACCCTCAGCCTGTGGAGGCTTCTTCCCTTAAACAACCAGTAGTTGTCATTCAAGGTTCTCCAAACAGGTAGACAGGTAATCCTCAGTGAGTGTATAATAAAGGTCAATTCAGGCAGCATGAGCTGTGGATATGCTTTGTATCTCTTGCCTGACTTTGAAGATGGGCCTTCGTCTTTGTGAGGTATGTGGATATCTTTTATGAAAGTAATGAAAGTATTGGAACTTGTTTATTAGTTTTATTGATGTAAATAAATTTGCTGTACCCTTTTTTTTTATTCAACTTATATGAGCTTATGTATGTGTTCTCATGGTGCCATTTGGTTCCTTGGACATTTGTGGCACAGCGGCGCAGTGGTTAGGCCTTTCTGTGTGGAGGTTGCATGTCCTCCCTGTGGCTGCGTGACTTCTCTCCAGTAACTCCAGGTTCCTCCTACAATCCAAAGACATGCAACTTAGGCTGACTGGTGACTCTAAACTCACCGTAGGAGCACACGCATGTGTGGTTGTCTACATGTCCGTCCTGTAATAGACTGGTAACCTGTCCAGGGTGTACCCCGCCTCTCTCCCAGTGTCCTGCTGGGATTGGCTCCAGTTACCACCCCCGTGACCCTATTCAGGAACAATCAGTACAGGATATGTGGATGGAAATTTCCAGTGCTGGTTAGCTAGATGGCTTTAGGCCAAACCTCTCTTTCAGTCACAATAGTTTCAACAAAATAAACTTCATGAAGGCAGAATTTACTGCAGGACTGGTTTAGAGTGGAAAGGGTTTCTTTAAACTGTTGACTGAGCTTGTCTTTACTCACACACATTACCACACATACGCACACACACCTCTTATTGTTCTTTCAAAATAGTAATTAACA